TCTTAATGTAGTACGTAATGCAGACAAGACATTATAACACTGAAAGCCCACTAGAACAGCTGAAGACAGTCTTACTCTTCTACGGATATATTCCAAACTCGATGGCTATACATATAAAACCGAAACCATGTGCTGTCACATATAAAGCCTGTGTTGTTTCCATGAGATGGACAGCAAACCATTACATGCCACATTCTACTTTGCTGCCAGGACATCAACTGCCCTAGAAGAGTCAAAGGAATGCTGTGAAATTGGGGGTACCGGTCCTCGCTGGCACAGTGGCAGACATGGCAGGTGTACAGCTGCATGCAGCTGTGTCCTATCACAGCTGCAAAACTAGTCTTAAAAAAAATCACCAAAACTTGTTGCTTCATTTTCCTGCCTGTGCCAGAGCCACTGGCCTTCATGAGCTCATCATTCCCTAGGCTTCTGTTTAGATGAGAGATATTAAGAATGGCCATCCGTCCATCTACAGGCTCTAAAATACACACTCAGCAGACCTTGCTCATGGGAGCTTCCATGTCTGCGTATGTGTTTCAACTGGCACTATTTTTAAAAAGCGGTCTATTTTTCCCTCCTTCCACACTGTAATATTCCTTCTCTTTCAGGAAAGCATTCAATAATTTCACTAGAGAGAGCAAGTGTGGCAGACATCTCAGTCCCAGAGAGGAAGTTTTAGCCAACGCGAATACTGTTTATGATTCACCTTCTCATTTTTCTATTCTAACATTTTATTTTTTCAAAAACAAGTATAAAGCTTCAATGAATCAAATGGGCATTTCCTCGGACATCAAGATCTAAGTAGTCCACCTTTCTCTGGGAGTCTCCATTTAGTGAGACACTTGTGCTCACTAAGATTTACTCTTCACTGAGACTCTGCTTTTGACTTTCCTTAAAATTCTGTTACCTCTCAGTTCCTATAAGTCTGTCTTTCACACAAGAAAGCAGGGCTTGGCTCTGTGAAGCAGGGCTTGGCAAGCGTCGAGGCAGGAAACACAGAAGGGAACGAGTCTGTCAGACTCATTTTCTTCTATTTCAAATGTTTATTTCAGATTCGGGAGGAAGTGGAGTGGTTCCTTTCCATTTCCTAGTATTTGGATCCTACAAGTTTTATAAGGCTTGGAGAGGGGCATTCTACCGCTCACCATCTCGGCAGGTCACCAAAGCAGACTCTTCGTGAGACCCCACCCTACCAGAGCGAGCACTTAGCTATCTGAGCCCTGGTTGCACCATCTCGTACAGTTGTAGCCTGGATTCCTGATTTGGGCAACTGAAAGTACTGCCAAAGGCTCAGCAACATCCCAACTCTGCTCCCAAGAGGCTAGGGCTGTGCCTGACTTACCCGAGTAGGGACTCAGCCCAGTCACAGGGCACACCTGAGACTCCTACTCAGTCTGGTAGGATGTTTTAGGCATTGGATGGGATATGGTCCCAAACGCACTCACTAAGTTCCCGGGACATACTGTAACAGACAGTAGGATGGTGTTTTCCAAGCTAAGACTTAAGATGTGCCTGCTTTGGGTGGAAGTTCATGTCAGACTTAAACACCCAGGCTTTTCCCATCCATACTCTAATTTTCTTTTTCAACATCATGTTATTCAACTCATCAGTTCTGTAGCTTGCCTTACTGTCCTTGCAATCAACAGAGGCCATTTCTAAAGCCCCACAGAGACCATCAGAGAACAAACTAGAAAACCTTATGGAAAATTTCCTGCTAACACTAACAGATGTGCACACCTCAAGCTGTGGGAAGCAGGATCAAGGTATAATTTTAGGTACAAATTAGCTTTTGGGGATATTTATGGACAGAAACCTTCAACATAGGTGAGACCTTGTGACATTTTACACAAATGACCCTGTAGTTGGGTACTTAATAAAGAAACCAAGCAATGTATGTAAATTAGTAATGGGTTTCTTAAGAGGTTCCCAGACCAGAGTGCCTAATCTGATCACATCAGTTTTGTCAAAGAGTTTTAAATGAAAAAATTTGACTCTTCTTATAGTCTAGAATTTTATGAATTGTGCTATTGTTTGGGACCTACTAATCACAGTTCACTAAGATTTATGAGCACAAATACATGTCTCAATCACAGAAAATTTATACATACATTTATATTTACACATTCATTAATTCATAGTTTTTACATTATATTTACTGTGCTCTGGAAGAACTCCTAAGTTAATTAACTCTTCCATTATATTGGAATTCCTCCATCCTGAGTTTCATGTATTGTGACACACTGACTTAGATATAATCCCCATAGTCATTTTAGAAGCTCAAAGTAATAAAAAAAACCTTTTTGATTGCTGTTTCTAACATATTCTTTACTAGTCACTATTAAATAAGACATAATTGTTAGTATAGCATTCAATTTTTCTTTAGCTGGGAAAAAATAGAATGAAAAGAAGAAAAGATAAAGAAACATCATAGAGCTCACTGTAAGATAGGTATTCCTGCTGGGAAGATACTTTCCCTGAAGTACATCATAGTAAAGATATGCCAAGTCGTGTACTTTTCACACACAAAATTATATTGTATCAAATTTAAATTTGTTACAACTGCCATATCCATTAAACCAGTGATAACGAAAATGCAACTCGATATCTGATCTAGTGAAACACCAACCAACATTAGCTCCCAGCCACACGAAGACCACCTCCACTGCCATTACTGGTGTCACCCAAAACCCAGCCAGTTTGTCTTCTCCAGCCATTTTTAACTGCGTGATTGTCATGTTTAGAAAATCTTGAAGAAAGTCTCTGAGTGAGGCAGTTTTGCTGGTCATTCTCATCACTCCGCATTTGCTGCACTTAAAATAGACACTTGTACCAGTGTCCTTTCTATTACCCAGAGGAGAAAAAAAAATCTCATACACACCAGTCCCTTTTCTTTCAGCTCACAGAGAAGCAACTCAATCCAAGCAGTGTTGAAACCTGAGTAGGTCACTGTACACCACGATAAAATTCCCTAATCCCTGGGCCAAATCTCCCCAAGGGGGGCCTCCTCCTGATCCTTCACTTCCCAGGCTGACTTTTCCATTCGCTCTCTCCTCTTTCCCCTTTCATTTCCCCTACCTTCAAGCCTTGATATGCGATCCGAGGTGGGAGCTCAAGTTTCCGTTTTTACAGCTTAGGCCCCGCTAGCTGTATACATTCCTTTCTCTCTGCTGGGCAGTGATTACTTACCAGAGCTTAGTTTACACTGGTCCAGATGAAAGCTGTTCAGATGAAGGCAAATACAGCCAAGCTGCCCCAGCGGCACTGATATGAAGCTGTACAAGGCTACATTGTGTTCTCGATGACATTTTGTTGCACCCATTTTTATACAGAGCAACCAACTTGTTATGTTACCCTATACTTCAGTTCAGGAAGCTGAATGGCTAATAATACCATGAGGGGTAGGGAGGGGTTTTGTTGGTATGGTGATTAATATTAAAATAAGAAAAATATATTAATGAGTTCAAAATAACTCTGTGGCTTTGAGAACCTACTTTTTAAGTAAGGATGGAGGGGGTAATGTTATAGTAGAAGAATACCTATAAACCCACCCTGGGGGTTTATACATGGGCATGGCTGAATGTTGACAGGGGTTTTCATATTGTTCCAAACTAGACAGAAAATGCCACAATTGAATTATGTGCTGGAAAAACAACTTCTCATTTAATGTTCCAGAATGATACAAGGATTAAGACTTCAAATAGTAGAAGGCAATATGGAGAAAAAAAATAACATTTAAAAAGAGGAAATTCTGTGCATCCAGGTTAATCCCACACTCAGTCCCGCAGCATGGGCTGAAAACTGTAATTTTTCCCCTTCACACAATGTTGTTTTTGTTTCTTCCTCTCTGGTTCAGACAAACATCTGTTATACTGTAGAAGGACAACTATCTCCCAAACCACGGAGTGCGCCTGAAGCCAAAGCCAACAGCACCAGCCCCAAGCACTGAGCACAGTCAGCCTTTATATCCAGCCGGGATAATGTTTCACATGTTTTGATTAAAATTAGCTAATTTGTAATTCTAGAACCTATGAAACTTAAAAGCTGCCATCCATATAGAGGTCATTAGGCAGAATTTTAAAGGGCCAGAGCTAGCTGTGATTTCCTAGTGGCCTTCTCTTGTTGTGGCCAACTGTCCATGTAAAACGACAGGGAAACGTAACATAGTAACGCAGGACAAGAGGGAAGGCCACAACTGCAGAGCACGGCCTCGTGAAGAGAAAACAACTCTTACTTCTTCCTTCCTTCCTTCCTTCCTTCCTTCCTTCCTTCCTTCCTTCCTTCCTTCCTTTCCTTCCTTCTTTTCTTTCTTTCTCTATCATTGGAATCAATGGTAGCTTCTGTTAACAGGGAATGGTATTAATTTCCAAGGCAAAGCTTTACTTTCCCAGACAGATACCTCCTGCTTCCAGACACTAAATTCTTCACCCCCTGAAATAAAAGCCCCGTTTCGAAAATGTGGCATACTGGTGAGACTTCCAGGAGAGAGGTAAAGCTACCAACATGCACCTAGTTATACGAACACAAGAGCTTTGTTTGCCCTTTCTAAGCATGGGTTTCATCACCGTACCCTTCACTAAATACGCTTGCCGTAACCAAGAAGACGCCAAAACACGGTAACAGTGCTTTAGTACCGTATCATTTTAACCAGTTTGCCTTTCAAATACAAACTTAACCAAAGATGACTGAGTCACCTGACAATATCCAGGGTTCTGTACAGAAGTGGGGAACACCAAGAAACTCAAAAAAAAAGAAAGCCTTATACTTTTTTTGGTAAGTCATAGAAACAAAACTATATATATATATGTTTATCGTTTTATTTTTTTAGTCGCTTAACTCATGAGATGCACACAAGACAAAAATCCTCGCCCAGACAAAACACACAACTTTGAGGAAAAAAAAGAAGAGAGGGTGACAGAGGAGTCCAGGCTGAACGATGTGCTCTGGCTTCAGCGCGAACAGCTGGAGCGCCAGGAGGCAGCGCTCACCACCTCTGGAGCACCGCTGGCCTGGCAGGGAGCCCGGCCTCGCAGAGAGGACTCGGGGCCGGCCTTCGTGAACAATGGGCAGGCGGCTGCGAAGGCCGCCCCTCAGACAGCTGGCTTTCAGCCGGGCTTTGCCGGGTCTGCTAACTGGAAAGTGAGGCATGCAGAGGCGAGCTGGAGACCCGGGGCAGCGGCGGAGAGGAGCGGCCCGGGGCGGCAGAGGCGAGCCCGCTGGCAGCACAGTCCCTGACCTGCGCCGCTCCGGCCAAGCCTCGAGCACTGACAGCTACACGATCTCTGCTGGCGAGTTGGAGCAAAGAGGGATCACCGAGCTTGGGGACGAACTGGGAAGAGGGGTGGAATCCAGGTTACCTCGGTGGCCCGGCTCGGCAGCTCTTAACTTTGGAGGGGTCCGGAGGTTCATTTCCGAAAAGGGGAGAAAGACTACACCGACCATGGGGAAAGCCGCTGCGCCATGCCTACTCGCCACTGGAGTCCGGTACCCTCGCCCCGAAACATCTGCACTAATCTAGGGTTTGTGAGGTTAAATAGTATGCTTCCCCCGCCCCCATCAGATTTGAGGTTGGTAGATTTGAGGGGATGCAGCCCGAGAGTTGGCACCTGGAGGGGGAACTGAGACGTCCCGGAGACCCGACAGAAACTGACAAGGGTGCCCCTGTCGTAACCCCCCAACCCCCCAAGCCTACACAACAGCCCGAAGGGAGCGGACAGAAGAAAGAGCTCCGGCTCCCCGGTCCCCGTCCGAAAATACCTTCATCTCCTCGTTGATCTCCCTCTTGACGGGGTGAGCCGGTTTCCGGCTCCTTTTATTTTCCGGAGGTCTCCCTTCTTTCTCCATTTCTGCCATGTTTTTGTGTCTGGTTTCTGTGGAGATGAAATGGCTGCTGCCGCCGCCGGCGGTGGTGGTGGCGGCGGTGGCGGTGGCGGTGGCGGAGGTGGAGGTGGTACTGATGGTGGCAACGCTGGCGCTGGCGGAGGTAGCGGTGCTGGCGGGTCCGGCGACGGGAGGGGGGGAGGCAGGCGAGGGAGGAGCGGGGTCTCTTCTAGCGGCGGAGACCGTCAGTGGCCGTCACGGGAAAGGGTAGTCCGGGGAGTCTCGGGGATGCCGCCGCCGCCGCTCCTGCCGCCGCCGCCGCCGCTCCTGCTGCCGCCGCTGCCGGTGCCGCCTCCGCCGCTCCCGCTCCCGCCGCCGCCGGGCTGCATCCTCGGGGCCCCACGAAGTCGTCAGCCATCTTCCTGAGCTCTGTCCGTCCGCATGGGCGAGAGGAGCGCCGGCCACGGCGGAGACAGCTGCTCTGGGCGTGCGTGCGTGGATATGTGTGTGCGCCCGGGAGAGCGCGCCAGCCCCGGCGCCCTGCGCCTCCCGCGAGCCGAGCCGCGGGCGGAGGGAGGGACTGCGCGGGGAGGGGTCCGAGGGAGGAAGGCGGGGGAGGGGGGACTAGGCCAGCCCCCCGCTCGCGAGCGGGCGTGGCTTCCCTGTCGCTGTAGACGCGGATGCTGCGCGGCTCCGGGGGCCGCTGGCTGCCGCCTGCTACTGGGCGCCGGGCACCGGCACTCGTCGCAGCCTCCGCTTCCCTGCGATGATCCCTGCGCAGCGGCGACGGGCAGACCCCCCCTACCTGTTCCTGAACTCCGTGACGTGGGCTCCCGTGGGCTCACAGTTGGCTTCTGAGTCTGACCTAGAGGCCGCTAAGGCAAAATGTATGGGGGTGAAGGGTGGAGTTTGAGCGGTGGAAGGGCGCAGAGACCCGAAAACAGAGCAGACACTCGGCCCCGGGGTTGCAGCGCCTAGCAGCGGAGTGAAACACAGACCGGACCCACCGCTCAGACTCGAGTGTCTGCTCTGGGGGCCACGGCAGACTGCGTGGAGAATGAATGTCCCTTAGTGGGGTCCCCAGCACGGCGGCGCGCCCTCGGACTGTTTGCCAGGAAGCTTTTGCCTTCCTGAGAACGACTTAGAAATAGGACACTCAGCCCTTAGCTCCCTGATTTCTTTCTTTCTCTTTCTCTCTCCCTTCCCCCTCCGCCCCACTCGCACTCTTATGCCCTGTTACAAAGTAGCATCTTTACCGCGTGACCCCGAGTACACCCTCATCGTGCCCTGGACTTAATGGGAAGGGTTGGGCTTAGTGGGTACTGCTGTGTGAGCAGGATCCCACTCAAGAACCCTCCCTCCGGGAGCCCCACGCCCTCGCCACTCCCAGCAGGACCCTGTACTCTCCGCGGGCTTCCACACTCTTGCACGAGAATCTGTCGGTTCCAGAGATCAGCTAATCCTTCAGGCGCTCACGTGTCCCCCCTTGGGCCGCCTCTGTCCACGCCCTGGGCCAAGGTCGGCTGCGCCTGTCCTTGTCTTTTGGGTTGAGGTATTGGTGTGAACCATTTGTCAGCTCCAGCGACAACACACAGCTCTGAAAGCTCCTACACACTGCAAAGGGACACCTCGACGTTCCCAGCTCAGCTTTCCCGCGCTGCTCCACTTTGTAATTACCTGACACAATGTGATATGGGGGTGTCCATTGTTCCGCAGCTTGCTATTACCGAGTGTTCATTATGACAGTGGTGGAATTTTAAATTACACATTTCTAAGTACTTAAAAGATAGAATGAAATCGGTGTAGGGGTATGAGTAAGCTTTTCATTAAGATCTCAGTTCAGCTTATCAAGTGGGATTCATTCTGAGTATTGCATTGCCTAATTTGCATTTTAGCGTTGTTTTGTCTCTTAAGCGTCGAATTAAAGATCTAGGAGCATACTACGAATGGTCGAACACGTCTACGAAGCCTGTTTTGCATTTTAGCATAATGTGTTTGGTACACACCGAATTCCAAATATTTGGGAGTGTATCCGGGAAAGCAACTCTTCATTACACATGTCGAAGATACGAAGAGAAGCAGTACCTAGCTCCTCCTACTCCTAGTAACCATCTATCCCAAGCCATCCAACAGGACTGACTGCTGTGAGGCAGCTTTCCCTGTTAGGGGTCCTGGTGAAAGGCTGGCACTGGGAGCCCGGGCAGGAGGGCGGTGCTTGGGGATAGGTAACACCTGGGACCCTTAGCAAAGTTGCAAGAAATTAAGAAAGAGGGGATGGAAATCGAGGGAGCATTTTCAGTTACAGAGATCTCTCAGTAGCTTCGGAGGACATCCAGGTGCAGCCAGCTTGGGAACCCCAAGTCCATTGACTGGTTCTCTAAATTTGCAGTAGACCTTAGCAAACCTTCAGCGACCCAGTAGTAAGGAGTCTAAGAGAAGCCCAGACCTATTTACACTTACACCCCTTGACAGATCACTAACTCCTGTGGTGTCTGGTGGGCTGGGCTTTAAACAAGGAGTGTCTCCATGATACTGTTGCTGGTAGACGAAAAAGAGGAAATTCTTGGGGTTTTTTAAATCAGAATTTCACCCATACAACATGTGGGTGGGAACAAGTTTGTTCTTTCTGTTCTATCCTCTTAGCTAAAGAAGTGGTGGGAAAACTTTTTTTTAACTTTCGAAAAGTGTAAAACACATGTTGTAAAATAAACTATGCAATAAGAAGCCTTTGTCTCTTGGAAACATATTTAAGTCTGCTCTGTTTCCTTTGGTGCCAGAGCTGTCACAATTGATTCACTGTTGCTGAGCTGATATCAAGTAACAAGTTGTATACCCCCAGTCTTAGATACAGTTTCACAAGTTAAGAAACAAGTAAACAGAAAAGGTAAACTATAGCCAGATTTTATATTTAGAAGCAGCTGTGCTTCCTTCAAAGAAAGTGGCTTTAAAGAAATAGCCCAGGTGTTTAATAAAAATAATGACATTAATCAGCCACCTGTTCCTTTGTGCACTCCAGAAACCGAGGTAAGAAGACTGGATCAGAACCCACGAGGCACATCTTTACTGGCAATGCAAGCACAGAAAACTGCTAATCTGATGTGAACTTGGAACTATGATTGGCGCTACACATTCATGAACCTGTGTTTCTGCAAATGTATTACAGAACCGTTAGAGAAAGAATTGACAATTTCTGCACTTGGAATCTTGAGTCAGATTGTGTTCCCTGGATAACTTCATTGTAAAAGTATAACTGTGGGTAGAAACAATAGCATAAATCCCTCTCTTCGGAAGACTCCTCTACCACCCCTACACACAGCACCCAAGCCTCCCCTTATATAATTAGTCCTCATTTTCCCCCTTGTTATCCCTGCTAATCATTATGATAGACACAGGCCCAATCTGCTGTAAATTCCTCAAGTGCATTTTTGTGTTTTTTTTTCATCTTGACCTTAATTTGGGCCTGCTTTACTTAGAAAACACATCAGAGAACAGATGGAAGACCAGAGTGGTCTTCTCTAGATATTTATTACCTATAGACCCTTCCTATAGATATTTGTTATCAACCAGAATTGATTAGTGTACCCTAAAAAACCTTAAAGTTTTCTTATGTAATGTTTGAAATGAGTGTTCATCTTGAACAAGCTTTGTGCTCTAGCTAAAGGTGAAGATTAAAATATAATTATGATGTTGAACACATGCTAGGAACTATCTCATTTAGTATTCATAAAACACCACAAAGCTACTTTTGTTATCCCCAAGTCGCATAGGAAGCTGAATCTTATACAAGTTGCTAAGAAGTATTGGGATGTGCACTCATAACTTCCTGTGCAATTCCAGCTCTGGAATTTTAAATACTATGCTAATCTGACTTAAATGAATTCCTGTAACAATCTATGTTTTACCTAATCTAAGGCCCATATTTTCACAGATCTAAGATTAAAATGCATTTTACCTTGAATTCTTACTGTTAAAGTGGTATCTATTTCTTGCTAATAGCAATAGGCTAGCAACCTAATGCCCAATCAGTAGGGCATTAGATTTCCTTGCATTAGGGTGCAATAACCAGTCTTAGGAAAGATCCCAGAAGTTTAAAACAAACAAGGTTTGTTTTCTAGCTCCAACAAAGTTGTCTAAGGATCATGGTGAACCTCTTTAGCAATTATCCTCTTCAATGATTTGGGCTGTACTTCACATATGCATATGATTTCACAGTCACTGGAGAGAAGATGAGAGGTCTGGAGGACTTCAGACAATGGCAGTAACATATGCATTGCCTAGAGTTAGTCAAAGATCTGACAGACCCACAGGGAAGCTAGGAAGTTTAATCTTCCAAGTCCTCCAAAAAGATAGGAGAAGTAGAGGCAAGTATTTAATGTTTGTATCACAAATACCTCTTCAGTTCACTGAATGTGGTTGTTAGGATACACCAGTATAAACATTAGGACTCTATTTTATTCAAACCTGATGTACAATGATTGATCTTTTGATTAAAATATTAAAATATGATTCAGAAGAAGTCAAACTTTCACTATTTGCTGATGATATGATAGTGTACATAAGTGACCCCAACATTTCTACCAAGGAATTCCTACAACTGATAAACACCTTCAGTAATGTAGCAGGATACAAGATTAACTCAAAAAATTAATAGCCCTCCTATATACAGATGATAAACAGGCAGAGGAAGAAACCAGAGAAACATCACCCTTTACAATAGCCACAAACAACATAAAATATCTTGGGATAACTCTAACCAAACAAGTGGAAGACCTGGATGGCAAAAACTTTGAATATTTAAAGAAAAAATAAAGAAGACACCAGAAAATGGAAAGATATCCTATGCTCTTGGGTAGGGATGATCTACATAGTAAAAATGTCAATCTTACCAAAAGCAATCTACAGATTCAATGCAATACCCATGAAAATCCCAGAAAAATTCTTCACAGACCTTGAAAGGACATTACTCAACTTCATATGGGAAAACAAAAAACCCAGGATAACCAAAACCATTCTGTACAGTAAAGAAATTCAGGAGGCATCACCACCCCTGACTTCAAATTCTATTATAGAGCTACAGTAACAAAAACAGCTTGGTATTGGCATAAAAGCAGACAGGTGGATCAATGGAATCAATACACCTATGAACACCTGATTTTTCACAAAGAAGCCAAAATTATAAAGTGGAAAAAAGACACCATCTTCAACAATGATACTAGCATAACTGGATGTTGACATGTAAAAGAATGCAAATAGATCCACATCACTGTGGACAACACTCAAGTCCAAATGGATCAAAGACCTCAACATAGAACCAACCACCTTGAACCTCATAGAAGAGAAAGTGGGAAGTAGCCTTGAATGCATTGGCATAGGAGATCACTTCCTAAATATAACACTGGTAGCTCAGACACTGAGAGCAACAATGAATGAATGGTACCTCCTGACAAGCTTCTGTAAAGCAAAAAACAGTCAAGGACAAAGCTGCAACCTACAGAATGGGAAAAAAAAACTTTACCAACCCCACATCTGACAGAGGGTTGACCTCAAAATATACAAAGAACTCAAGAAACTAGACACCAAAATACTAAGTAAGCCAATAAAAAAAATGGGGTACAGATCTAAAGAGAGAACTCTCAACAGAGGAATCTCAAATGGCTCAAAGACACCTAAGGAAATGCTCAACATCCATAGTCATCAGAGAAATGCAAATCAAAACAACTCTGAGATACTATCTTACACATACCTGTCAGAATAGCCAAGATTAAAAACCCTGATAACATCAGGGAAATGCAAATCAAAACCACTCTGAGATTCCATCTTACACAGATCAGAATGGCTAAAATCAAAAACCCCAATGACTGCTGGGCATTGGTGGCTCATGCCTTTAATCCAAGCACTGGGGAGGCAGAGGCAGGCAGATCTCTGTGAGTTTGAGACTAGCCTGGTTTACAGAGCGAATTCCAGGACAGCCTCCAAAACAATACAGAAACTAAAGAAGAAAAACAAACAAACAAAAAAAAAAAAAACAATGACAGCTTATACTGGAGAGGATGTGGAGAAAGAGGAACACTCCTCCATTGCTGGTGGGAGTGCAAATTTGTACAGCTGCTGTGGAAATCAGTATGACGATTTCTCAAAATATTAGGATCAACCTACCTCAAGACTTTACAATATCGCTGTTGGGCATATACCCAAAGGAGGTACATTCATACCACAAGGATATTTGCTCAACTATGCTCATAGCAACATTATTTGTAATAGTCAGATCTTGGAAATAACCTAGATGCCCCTCAACTGAAAAATGGATAAAGAAAATGTGATATATTTACCCAATGGAGTACTACTCAGAGGTAAGAAACACTGACATCCTAAAATTTACAGGCAAATGGATTGAACTGGAAAAAAACATCCCGAGTGAGGTAACCCAAAGCCAGAAAGACAAATATAGTATGTACTCACTCGTAAGTGGATACCAGACATAAAGCAAAAGATACTCAGCCTACAATCCACAACCCAAGAAAAGCTTGACCCCTCTTCCAGAAACAGATGGAAGCAGATGCAGAAATCCACAACTAACCAATAGGCCAAGCTCCTGGAGGACAATCGAAGTGAGGGAGGAGCGATAATATGAACAAAGGAGTCAAGACCATGAAGGGGAAACCCACAAAATCAGCTGACCCAAGCTAGTGAGAGATCACTGACTCAGGTCTGACAAATGCATAAGACTGAACTAGACTCCCTTAACATAAGTGACAATGGTGTGACAGGAACAATATATAAGGCCACTGGTAGTGGATCAAAGATCTAATAGTGGAGGCCATTCTATATGGAGAGACACCTTGCACAGGAGTGTGGGGGTGGAGAGGTGCCTTGATCCTGCCTCAACGAGATGATGGGACAGACTAGTAGACTTCCTAGGAGAGGCCTTACCCTGTCTTAGGAGCAGATGGGAGGAGGGGTTATGGAGGAAGCAGGAGGAAAAGAGGGAGGGTAACTGGGATTGGAATGTAAAAAATAAATTAATAAAAAATAAAAAACTCTGGTGACAGTCTATGCTGGAGAGGATGTGCATTGCGGGTGAGACTGCAAACATGTACAGACACTTTGGAAATCAGTATGGGTTTCTCAGAAAATTGGAGATCAATCTACCTCAAGACCCAGCAATACTACTTTAGGATATATACCCAAAGGATGTACACTCATCCCACAAGGACATTTGCTCAACTATGTTCATAGCAGCATTACTCATAATAGCCAGAAAATGGAAACAACCTAGATGCCCCTCCACCAAAGAATGGATAAGGAAAATGTGATACTTTGACACAACGGAGTACTACTCAGCAGTAAGATACAACATCTTGAAATTTGCAGGCAAATTCATGGAACTAGAAAAAGCCATCCTGAGTGAGATAAGCCAGACACAGAAAGATAAATATAATATATATTCACTCATAAGTGTATTAGACATAAAGCAAGGGACAACCAGCCTACAGGCCACAACTCCAGAGAACCTAGGTATCAAAGAGGACCCTAAGCAGTCTATGGGGCCTCTAGTAGTGGAACCAGTATTTATTCCTAGTACACGAATGAACTTTTGGAGCCCACTCCACATAGAGGGATACTCTCTCAGCCTAGACACACGGGGTAGGGCCTAGATCCTGCCGCAAATGATGTGACAGACTTTGAAGATCCCTTATGGAAGGCCTCACCCTCCCTAGGGAACAGAAGGGGGATGGAATAGGGGGATTGGTGAGGGGCAGGGGAGGAGGGGAGGGAGAGAGAACTGGGATTGATATGTAAAATAAGATTGTTTCTAATTTAAATTTTAAAATCTAGGGGAAAAAAGAGGACCCTAAGAGAGAAATACATGGATCTATGCCTAGGAAGGGGAAAAAGACAAGATTTCCTGAGAAAATTGGGAGTGGACATGGGTAGGGAGGAGGGTGGAAGGGGAGAAGGGAAGAGGAAAAGGGAGTGGAGAAAAAAATGTATGGCTCAATAAAATTAGCTAACATTAAAAAATAAATAAAAATTTTAAAGAAAAAAACAAAAAATTCAAATATGGATAAATAATAACCACATGGCAAGAACTATACAAATAAAAATCAATGCTATGAGAACTTCTAAATTATGCTTCAGAATTCATGATTATGTTTAACTGCAAAGAACAAAATTCTAGGATGAATTTCAAGAAGAGTTCTCGAAACCGCATAGTTGTAGTTGACATGGGGCTTTAACCATGGACAACAGAGGGTTCTCAGGAGTCTGAGACCTGAAATGACACAGAAACCTCGTCTTGGGCCTCCTAGCATCTGTTTCTTTGTGGGTTTTATTGTTGTTTTCTCTTGGTTTTTGTTTTCTTGAGAATGGGTACCTGTCTGGGTTATTGTTTATTCATTAACTCAATAAATATGTGTTGAAGGCCCCAGCACTGTTTCTGGGTGCTTGGTAGCAGCCAACATAACATGACAGGTTCTCAAATCTCACTATGTGTTTGTTGTTTGTTTGTGACAGTCTGGCTTTGTATCCTAGGCTGACCTTGGACTTGAGATTCCCTTCCTCAGCCTCCCCAAGGCTGGGGTTGTAAGTGGATGACACCATGTTCACGTGTGTGGCAGCATGTCTAACACTCACAGACTTCAGAGTCTGAGAGGGAAGCCTCAAGCAAGTAACAAAGCAGATGCTCGTATTTTATTGTTTAGTTAGTCAGCTAGCTTGTTGGTGAGTTTCGAGACTGGATTTTTTTTCACTTTGGTGGCCCAGTCTGGCCTAGAACTATGTCATCTAGTCTGTCTTCCAACTTGTAGCAATCCTCCTGCATCAGCCTCTTAGGTGCTGGGGTTACAGCCACCATGCACAACTTTGAGAAGTATTTTGAAAGTGTAGAGGTGGTAAGTCTACGTTAGCTGAAACACAAAAGCCTCTGAGAGGAAATTTTGACAGAAAAAATGAGGAGGA